AGCTTTGTGCAGGATCCTTTAAAGGCATCCGAAGTGAGACCCTTTAAAAAGGAAATGAAAAGTATTATAGATGATCCTCTGGGGGGCATCAGAACAACTGGATAATTTGTTAGGACCTAACATTTACACATGGGATGAAATGATGGCTATACTTAATACCCTCTTCTCAACTGAGGAGGGACAGTTAATTAGAGCAGCCTCAATGAAAGTATGGGAAAGAGATCACCCCCCTGCTAATAATATTCGGGGAGAAGATAAATTTCCCCTGGTTAGACCAAACTGGGATAACAACAACCAAGCCCACAGAACTAATATGGAAGATTTGAAAAATATAATTGTTAGGGGAATAAAAGAAGCAGTCCCAAAAGCACAGAATATGAGCAAGGCTATGAATTTAGAACATGAAAAAGAGGAATCCCTAGCAGCTTTCTTACAAAGGCTTAAGGATACGATGAGGAAATACTCTGGCATGGACCCGGACGATGCTACAAATACACAATTGGTCCAAGTTCAGTTTGTAACAAAGGCATGGCCAGATATTTCAAAGAAATTACAAAAATTAGATGGGTGGGCTGGGAAATCACTGGACAAACTTCTCAAAGAAGCCCAAAAGGTTTACGTACAGCGAGATTATGAGAAAACTAAACAAAAGGGTAGAATGATGGTGGCAACAGTCAGAGAAGTTATAAAACAAGAAGGACCTCCAAAAACCCCACTCCAGGAAAGGTTTGGATGAGGGAGAAATGAAGGAATGTGAGGGTGGAGCCAAAGTAAAAGGGGAAGAGGATGTGGTGGTACAGGCAGGGAGGACAGAGTGAGATGTTTTGGGTGTGGCCACCCTGGACATTTCAGGAAAGATTGCCCGATCCAAGGAATGGAGGAGCAAGTGTATAATATGATGGAACAGGATGAAAGTCAATAGTAGGGGTGTCGGGGCAATTCCTTTTTGGGTCCCATGGAGAGCCCTTGATAAATTTAGTAGTGGGACCTAAGGAAGAGGAAGTGGTGTTTTTAATTGACATTGGGGCAGTGAGAACTTCAATATCAGTATTAACTGCAGAAATGAAATTAAGTGAACAAAGTATTAGGGTATTTGGAGTAAAAGGGGAAGGATTTCAAGTACCCAAATTAATGCCCTTCCAATTGGGAATAAAAGGACAAAATAAAAAGATAGAGGTAGAAATGTTGTATATACCAGAAACAGGTGTTAATCTGCTGGGAAGATATCCCCTAGATTTGAATTTGGACCAGAAGGGATGATTCCTATGAGGGTTTTGACCTTAGAGGAAGAAGAAAAGATTGATCTAACAGTTTGGGTAAAAGAAGGGAAGGGGGGGGGACTACAGGTGACCCCACTTAAAATAACACTCAAAAATTCCAACAAAGTGGCTAGGCAAAAACAGTACTCAATTTCTATGGAGGGGAAGAAAGGGATGCAACCAGTAATTGATGGTTTGCTAGAAGATGGCTTAATAGAACCCTCAATGTCCCCTTATAATACTCCCATTTTACCAGTAAAGAAACCTGATGGCTCCTTTAGAATGGTTCAAGACCTGAGGCTCCTAAACAGGATTGTAAAAACTAGGCATCCTGTGGTCCCTAATGTTTATATGTTAATGGGGCATATTCCAACAGAGCATAGGTGGTTCAGTGTTGTAGATTAGAATCAAGGCCCATGTTTGCATTCAAATGGGAAAACCTTTATACGGGAAGGAAGCAACAATATCAGTGGACAGTGTTACCTCAAGGGTTCACAGAATCTCAGAATTTATTTGGACAGGTACTAGAACAAGTCCTAGATGAGCTAGATCTTCCCAGGGGAACTCACTTAATACAATATGTGGATGACTTGTTGGTTTCAGGGAAAAAGAAATCTGAGACTACAAGTGCCACTAATGTATTATTAAACTTCTTGGCCCAAAAAGGCCAGCGAGTAACCAAATCCAAATTGCAATATGTTGAAAGAGAGGTAAAATATCTAGGACACTTAATCAGTGAAAGGAGTAGGAAGATTATTCCAGACAGAATAGAAGGGGTGGAGTCCCAACCCTTACCTAAAAACAAACAAGAACTAAGGAAATTCTTGGGCTTGGTGGGATACTGCAGACTATGGATTGATGGGTATGCTGATCTTACCTAACCCCTGTATGCAAAGTTAACTGAAACTGAACCTTGGAATTTGAGATGGGAGGGAAATGAAAGGGGAAGCTTTGAAAATTTGAAACAAGCTTTAACCAAGGCTCCTGTATTAAGTTTGCCAAATTTGGAAAAGTCATTTCATCTCGTTGTAAACACAGAGAATGAAATTGCGCAAGGGGTGTTGGCTCAGGACTGGGCAGGACAAAGGAAGCCTGTGGCATTCCTGTCAAAAATAATGGATCCGGTTATAAGGGGATGGCCACAGGGATGGGATCCAACTGGTATAACTACCGGTTCTGTTGCTCTGTGTTGTGTGCGCAAGCGTGCAAGTCACACAAGTGCAATTTACGACCTGCTAAGCTGCCCGGACAGCTGAGCAGCGCTGTGTGCAAGTGCGCAGTGGTTGAAAAGGCACTTTTTCCTGCTTTTTCAACCACAGCTGTGTCGCCCAAAGCAGCTGCGGTTGCAAATGCAGGAAATAAAGGTCAGGTAAGAGCCCGGGCGGGCAGGTGGGCCAAAACAGCAGCAGACATAGAATCGGTTCTATGTATGCTGTTTGCTGCTTTTCATAGGAACAGGTTGCACAGAAGTGGACAGAACTGATAGAATCCCACCCCTGGATGGCCAGTATGTATTCAAGCAATTGCTGCTACTGCAACACTGGTGCAAGAAAGAAAATTGACCTTTGGGAGAGCTCTCATTGTGAGCACCCCACATCAAGTCAGAACCATTCTCCAGCAAAAAGCGGGGAGATGGTTGACTGATTCACGTATTCTCAAATATGGGGCGATTTTGATGAAGCAGATTTGGTTTTAACTACAGACCATAATTTGAATCCAGCACAGTTCTTAGCCAACACTAGATCAGTGGATCAGTATGGATTAGAACATTATTGTTCTGAAGACTTACAAACTAAAATAACACCTGATTTGGAGGAACACCCCCTTTTGAAAGGAGAGGCAATTTTTATAGATGGTTCTTCTAGGGGGGAGGGGGGAGCACAGAAAAATGGGTATGCTATTATAAATGGACATACTAAAGAGATCCTGGAAGCAGGGGGCTTGCCTCTGTGGGAAGTGTATTCATTTTATGACTCAAAACTCAAGATGAAAAAGGGAGGTTTTCCTTTTGAAGTAAGGAAATGTGGTATCAAGCACTGATTAGAACTGATCTTGGAATGTTTTTGAAGTGCTGGGAACTATCACACATTTTGGAATGCCTTTGAAATGCTAGATACCAGATAAAGAAGTGTGTTACGAGCTAGGCACCATGAAAGATAATAAAATGTAACTTGTATCCTGAAAGATAGATTGTAAATCAAGCCATTTGTATACTGGGAGGGGGGAGTAGTAGGGGGTAGTTTTGGGTATAAGAGTAGAGCCTTTAAGCTTTGCCTTCGTTCCTCCCATCTGCCAGGGCAGGAACCCGTTTCTGCAGAAATGTTACAATAAAACCTTTTTCCTTGGATCAACTTTGAATCCTGGTGGTTTTTCTTAGCCACAATCTCACACCTCGAAGCTGGTCTGCTCAAACTTGTGAATTGTATGCACTGAATCAAGCTCTGTGCATTTTGGAAGGAAAAATAGGGACAATATACAGAGATTCCACATATGCATTTGGGATAGTGCATACATTTGGCAAAATACGGGTGGAAAGAGGAATGATAAATAGCAAGGGAAAGGAATTACTACATGAGACTCTGATAAAGGAAATGAGTTCCTTACAAAAACCTAGAAAAATAGCAGTGATACGTGTGAATGCACATCATTTGAGAACATAGGATTGCTGATGAGGAAAGCAAAATTGGCTGCTAGCTAATTTCTACAGTTAAGGGGTGGTCACATTCAACCCCTGCCCCTGCCCCTCCCCCAACAATGCACGCATAACAGACAACACTGAACGGTCTCAACTGTTGAGCCCCTGAATACAAGTAGTCCTCAATTTACAACAGTTCATTTAGTGACCACTCAGAGTGGTGCGGTGGCCTTCCCCGGGCTCTGGAGGCCCCCCAGAAGCCGGAAACAGGTCCGTTTCACGACTTCCGGTTTTTCCAGGAGGGCCGTTTTTCGCCTTCCCAAGGGTCTGGAAGCTTCCCCCGGGCCTTTGGGGGGGCAAAAACGGCCTCCCCCGGGCTCTGGAGGCCCTCTGGAAGCCTGAAACAGGCTCAATTGTGGTGGTAAGTGGAGGACTGTCTGTACAATAGCAGGGAGAACACTGAGGGAGAAATAAAAGAAAACATGTTATTTTTTTTTCAAACCAGCCAATTAAAATGCGAGTCTTTGCACAGGGCGAGTATTGATTAACGGTAGGCGGGGACGCTGCACCCTCCGTTTTTTCTTTTAATAGACGTCAATTGGATTCTAAGAGCGACGTTGCGATGAGCTTCCACCAATGCGCTTAGAGAATTCGTTTACGTCAGTCGCCCAAAGTTACGTCAACTCATCCCCTCTTTAATTGCTAGTTCGATAACAGCCTATGACAATGTAGTTAAAATGATTAAAGGGAGTTCTAGCCATAGACGAAGCTAGCCTTGGATATCAGTGGGACCAAAATGAACAGCCGAGGAGGGAAATGACTGCAGCTGAGGGAAACAGTTGATACGATAGTCCCGTGGTTTAATCTCACCGCGAACAATAGCCGCGCCATGCTGAGTGACAGCAAATTTATCCTGTCTTGGAGCCTCGCCTCTTTCCTCTTCCCTCCCCACGGTGTTATCGAACAAGCTTGCTTCGGCTCTCCCCCATCCTCCTCGTGCGCTTGATTGGCTTCGCGCGTGATCGGTGACCAATGAGTGCGCCCGTGGTAAGAAGACGCTTACCTCAGAAAGCCGACGAGTCGTGAAAAAAGAGTGGGCGGAGCTCCCACAGACCTGGTTGCGCGGCGCAGAGGGCAGCTGGGACGCCATTTCGTGAGGCGTTCGGAGCGCGAATGAGGCGAGCGTAGCTGTGAACAGAGGGCGAAGCGGTGTACGGTTACAGAACTTAGACATTTAGATAAGCAAAGCGGCGGCGTGCTGGATCTGGGGCCTCCCGGTGAGTTCGTTGCCTGAAGAAAAACTCCTTGGGGGAAAGGGTGGCGACGGTTCTTTTTTTTCCTCCCGCGCGCGCGTATGTGTGTGGGAGGGGAGTTCGCATAATGGGATTGCCCACACGCCCCCGCAAGTTTTGGTCTCCGCGGCGGTCTTTCTGGGCTCTCATCTCCTTCCCCCCCTCCATTAAATGTATTGGTGTCATCCAAGCCGATGTCTTATTTGGGAGAGACCACTATGCTGGGCACAAAGCGGGGGCTGCTTTAATGGTTCTTTCGTTCTGCGAAAGAGAGGAAAACGCGTATCTGTCTGTGTGTATTTGTGGTACATTATGCGTTTATGTGGGTTATAAGAAGACTCAACCTATGGGAAGTTATATAGTGTGTGCCTAGCCGCCTGAATGTATAAAAAGCGTGTGAGGTGCGCGTGCAGAACCCATTCGCAGGTATGGCTGCCGCTTTAGGCAAGGGAACACATACTAGGATAATGATAACCTGACCTTTATTGGTCATTCAGGGTCGGATCTCATTCGTCTAATCCGGATTGACAGTCCAGGAAGACAAGATTTCAAATGCCTCAGTAGGTGGCACACAGCAGACTGGATCTCTGGAAGCTACTGACAAATCCAGGTAGAACTTGGATGGGAGACCACCAGGAGATCCCAGGGCTGTAAAATCAACCTTTAAAAACACCTTAGAAGGTAGAGGCAGAAGGCCGCCCCATTTGTTAAAAAAAAAAAAGATTTTTTTTGTAAGGCGTGATGAAGATTTTACATGGATGGCAAAAATGCCTAAAAGCACCAGAATTTGCACACTATATCTCACATTGTGATTTTTGGCAGATTGTTTTAAAAATGCACATGCTATCATAGGCTAACAAAGCTGAATTGTGGATGTAAAATGCCTAAAAGCATCAATAATGTGCACAGTATATCGCACACTTACCATGATCAGGTTGTGATTTTTTTTTGACAAATTTATTTTTTAAATGCTAGGGAGGTTGAATGGCAGGTGGTAAAAATGCCTAAAAGCATCAGAATGGGCACACTATATATATGTTGGACAGCTATCTGACATACATTTGCATTGGAACAATAAAAATAGGTGCTATTTCATGTATTGCTACAATAGACATTTTAAGGATTTGGCACTTTGGGGATGCATGTTCATTGTGAAACAAGTACCGTATTTATCGGCGTATAACACGCACAGGCGTATAACACGCATCTTCATTTTAAGAGGGAAATTTCACTCCCACCCCGCGCGCGCGCTTCAATCCACAGTGTCCCATTCTGCCTGCCTGCCTGCCTGCCTTAGTTTCTGGTTGTTTGGGAGCAGCTTCGGCTGAGAATAATAACTATTCGCCTCTTTTACTCAGCCGAAGCTGTTCCGATTCAACCATTAACGAAGGCAGGCAGGCAGGCAGGCAGAACGGAGCACG